ATCTTTATATAAAAAATCACATATATCTATTTATGATATATATTGAGTGATGACACATAGTGATGACAGAAGGCAGGCAAATCAATATTTTGTTATTCCTACTCGAAATTTAGATGTTTTTATCTTATTGATCTAAACGTATACGACGTTTGATCCAAAATGTTAAGGTAAAAACTTGTTACAATATAATTTTTTTCATTTTTATTTGGGAAGGTAGAGAAATAATTGAGAGAAACTTTATAATATTTTTTTAAAAATATACATATATATGAAGATATAAATTTATATAACCTTGACGAGTTTATATAATATTGAATTCCCTCTTAGATTTGGCGAAAATAATAAACAAGATTGTAACTTTTTTTTGGTAATAACAAGACTGTATTTTAGATTCGTTTATGATATGATTTTAAAGTGAAAAAATACGTAGAGGATTTAGGGTTAGGTTAAAAGTGATAAGGTAATAGGAATAGATGTGATTGATGATGCAAAAGAAATGAGTAAACGAAAACCCTTGAAACATATTAGATGGTTAAGCATATATGGTTGGTGAAACTTGGCAACATTTGGATTGATTCATCTCTTATTTGGAATGCTTAGTGGGAATGACTTTTATGTCATTAAAGTTCCGTTTTATCTTTCAACTCATCCAAAGTTCATTTCCACATTTCAAAACTTAAATCATACATATATTTTTCTCAACTCCGTTATTTTATTCAGGATAAATCCAAGTACATTGAAATGATGTCTTATCTTACAAGATATTAAGGTGGCGTTTGGTTAGCAGGAATCCCTTGGAATTAGGGGGAATTGGAATCCAATTCCACCACCTTCTCATGTTTGGTTCAAGTTTTCAAAGAAAATTGAAATCCCTCATGACTTCAACTTTCCATCAAATGAGGGAAAGTAAATTCCACCCATTCTATGATGGAATTCAATTCTCTTGTTGGAGGAAATTGAAATTTGATCATACTACCCTTATCAATCTTTTGGTAACTTATTCATATATTGAATAAAAATATTTTTTTTATCATTTCGGGTTGGGTTTCTAATTTATATATTCGGGTCGGGTCGGGTGAAACTTTATTTTGGTCGGGTCAGGTCGATTTTTTTAAGTGTGATATTCGGGTCGGGTCGAGTTCGGGTTTAGGGTGAAAAATACCCGACCCGACCCGAAAATATATATAATTTTACCTTATATATTTAGGAATAATTACAATAATAGCCCTCTATATATAATTTTTTTTTCAATTAAGTCACTATTTTTATTGAATAAAAATAATTTTTTTATTATTTCGGGTCGGGTTTCTAATTCATATATTCGGGTCGGGTCGGGTCGGTCGGTTTTTTTAAAGTGTGGTATTCGGGTCGGGTCGGGTTCAAGTTTATGGTGAAAAATACCAGACCCGGCCCAAAAAAATATATAATTTTACCTTATATATTTAGGAATAATTACAATAATACCCCTCTATATATAATTTTTTTTCAATTAAGTCATTGTTTTTTATTGTATAAAAACAATTTTTTTATTATTTCGGGTCTGGTCGAGTTCTAATTCATATATTCAGGTCGGGTCGGGTGAAACTTTATTTTGGTTGGGTCGGGTCTCGGATGGAGGTTCTCTTGTTATCGGGTCGGGTCGGGTGGACCAAAAACTCGACCCATGACCATCCCTAATTGGGATGATTTTAATTTATGATGTTTATTAGCATGATTTTTATAATTTATTGAAATGAATAATCAATCAATAAAATTAAAATTTAATATTTTTTTATATTTTTATAATATATCGTTACATGTAATTTATAAAACAAACTAAAATTAACCAAACAGAATATGAAATTGGATTCCAATTCAATTTCATGCCAACCAAACAGAATATGAAATTGAATTCCAATTCCTGACAGATTCCAATTCCTAACATATTCTAATTCCTTCACATATTCTAATTCCCTCAGAAACATTCCAACGAACCAAACGCCACCAAAGTTTTTTATATCGATAATTTAATTTCGTACTCTTAAATTTAATAAAATTTCTTAATATAAAATTAGATGTTAATCTTTGATTATATCTATATCAATATTATTTTGAAAGATAATATTTTAAATATAAATTATAAAAGAGACCTGGATGACTTTTTTTTTTACTTTTACTTTTGAATTTTAAAATGTTTAAATATCAGGAGTGGGGACACGTGTCTTGGTTCCAATTAGATACTTAAGTTTCATCTTTAGTTCTTAGGGTTTAAAGAAGGTTAAACTACTCGTATGACCACTCAATCATTACCTTTTTTCACTTTGACCATCGATCTTTCAATTTTATCATTCGCACCACATAATTATTTAAATTAAATAATTTAAAATTAAGAAAAAAATAACCCATTCAACCTGATTGAGAATTAAATTTATTGAATTAAACTAATATTAAGACTAAATTGATAGAATACTTAAGTAATGAGGATTAAATGTAGAATTATATCGATTTTATTAACAGCCACATCACTTCCTCCATTAAATTTTAAAGGCTGATTCAACCATTTAAATAGTTTGGTGGTGTAATTGATAAAATCGAAAGACTGATGGTTAAAGGAAAAAGAGCAATAGTTGAGTGGTCATACGAATAATTTACCCTTTAAAGAATAAGTACTGCTAAAATTATCCCTTGGCTTTAAGAATAATAGATTTCAGTCTACTCCTAAAAAAGTTATATATTTTTAAATTAAAATAATAATAAAATTATATTTTATTTGTAAAAATAATAATTTAAGTCCTACTCTAAAAATTTCCAGGGTAAACTAAATTTAGTATCTTAATTTATAAATTTTGATTTGTTTTGCTCACCCAACTATTTTTTGTTTCAAAACCATACTTAATATTACGTTTTGCTTTCATTTTGGTCACATACCGTTAAAAAATTAATGGTGATGTTGATGTGTCACTACAAGATAATACTACATCATCATTAGTTTTTTTTTCTTCTAAAAGCCACATCACCAGTTCTGTTAATTTTTTAAATAATCAAAATAAAACTAAAATGTAACGTTAAATATAATTTTAAAGAAAAAATAGTTGTATGATAAAAACAAAACAAAAGTGATAATTAGAATTCTAAACGTGTATTTCACCTAAATTTCTAACATTGCCTGCTAAATATTAATATAAAAATAAATTTTTATCTTCTGGCTTAGCCAAAATGATATTTTAATAGCTTATGGTTTAGGTGAAAATTATCTTCTTCATGTATTTATGTTAATATTTATGTTGCTTTCTTCTTTGTTGGTCTCCATATTAATTTTAATGTTAATGGTTAATTGTGAATTTTCCTTGCTTTTTTTATATTACATTTTTTTTAATAATCATATCTTTATGATATTTTTTAATATCTTTATGACATTTTTTCATCTGTGTTTTGATACATTTTCGTTATTCTTTATCGATTGTTTAATCGTTTTCGTTCTATTCGTTTATCTTTTTATCAATGTTGTATTTCACGTTGTTTCGGCTAATGAAGGTAGTGTTTATTTATTATCATATTGAATTTTCTTGTTTTAGACCTCCAAATTAAATTTGAATATGCAATTATGTCTGTGGATAATTTTCCCACGTCGCTCAATTTTGATTTACGATTTCTCGGTGCTCTTTCAATAAATTGATCATCTTTTACGGTTCGTTTGTTGATGCATACATATCTATTTATATTTATCTTTGTTCGAGTTTTTTGATGGACTTTTAACATTTTGCTTATATGGTACTTGTATGATCTCAAGTTGCTAATTTCTTGTATCAATTGTTATAAGAAAATGCCTCAATTATATGTTTAGATTACTACTATTATTATAAACATTGATTACAATTATGAATTTTTTAATTAAACCAACCGCTTCTATTAAAAAAATAATAATTAAACAAAGTAATAATTTATATTATACAAAATTTGATATTTTATATTGGTATTAATTTTTTTTAATAGCTTATTCTTATCACCAAATATTGTCCAGTTTATCGTCGGGTCTAAATCTCTCCCCCTTATCTTAACTTCTACTTTCTTTCTCTTTTTTCTTTTTCTTTTTCCTTTTGCCTTAAAAAAAAGTACTTTCTTTCTCTTTTGAATTTTGGAATCTGATTTCTGAGCAACTAGGGGAGTATAGTGTGTTACAAAAGTGCTTGAATCGACGAACTTACAAATAAGAAAATGATCAAATTTCTTAATAACGAACCAGAAAAGTGAACATCGATAATTCAATATTAAATCTACATAACCATTAAAGAAAACTCAAGAATTCGACTCATCTTTTACTATTCAATCGAAATTTTCATTAAATTTATGGATTATTTTAAACAAAATATGAAGATACTCATATTCGTTCACTCAATGCATAAACTCCTATCTCAATTAAAAGAGAGTATGTGGAGATAATCTCAGGAAAAAGGATTTAAGGGTGAAAAAAGTGAAAATGACATATTTTCCTTTTTTGGTTTGTGAGAATAGAAGGTGAGTTGGAGGATGGTGTTGCCAATGAAAACATCTTCCTCACAAACAGGAAAGTTGAGATTCCATGTTATAAACTCACATTCTCTTCTCCATGAGCTGTATCCAATTATCTAAATTATTGGCGTCAAGGATCCCAAATAAATGAACCAAAACGGCATGATTTTTGTGATAGTTCTGATCCCAGATAATAGAAATTACCCAAATCAATGACTTGAATTTGGAAAATTTAAAATAACATAAACATAAACAATTTACGTTTTTTTAGTAGTTCCATGAGAATGGAAACTGCCGTTAACCTTTTTGATTTTATGGAAATGTGTGCTTAGAAGGAAGGAGTTGCTTATACACTTCTGACACGCGCCAAATATAGAGCATTGGTTCTTTGGGGAATTTTAAAAAAAAATTGTTAAAAAAATGGAAACCCCAGATTATGAATAATTAGAAAATAAAATTGCTTATCTGGCTGCTATAAATTCAGTAGTCCCTGCCTTGTGAAACCATATGTATCTGAACAACACAAGAGGAAGTTGAAAGAGAGAGGCAAACATGAAACCTGAAACCAGAAACGAGGCTGAGGACTATAAGTTAACTGTTGAAGTTCCTAAAACTGCCCATGCCGTTAGCACTGGTACATAAAAATATACATTTACTACGTAAAAAATGTTCTTTTATCCTTTTTTTAGTTCTGGGTTTTCCTATTCGTGTTTTACTTCATATGTTTTTTCTTTTTTTTGGTCACGAAAGATTTGTTTAGTTTGAAATCTGGAGATCTTGCGTTTTCTTATTTTCTGCAAACTGCAAAGTGAAGAGTGGGTTCATTTTGGATCTCCAGTGGTTTGTTTGATATTCTGATGCGACAAAAATGTTATCTTTTTTTTACTTGTTTTTGTCTCAAGGGTTTTTTTATTGCATTCTTTCACAGAAAAACATTTTTTCCCTACTGATAATTTGTTTTTCGTGTTCTGTTTGTCTAGTTTTATATGTTCTGTATGTATTTTCGAGTGTTAGTTCCATGTCCAAAATCACTAGATTTACTATTTGTTTGAATTAAGTTCTTCAATGGCTTTTGATTTTTTTTTCTCTAAGAAGCTGAACAAATACATAAAAATTACTTTCGTAGTTCTGAGATTTTGTTCTACCCTGATTAGAATATTTCAAAATAGTGACATAAGAAGGAATCATTCTTTTGGGGGTGAGTTTTTGTCTCACGATGTTCCATTTTCCATTTGAGCCATTAGACCATTTATCTTTTTACAGATTCATGGCTCCAGGCAAGTTTTGTCTTAACCACTGGTGTCAACAGTGTATTTGTCTTGGGATATTCCGGAACAATCATGGTCCCTCTCGGCTGGATAGGAGGCATAGTCGGTTTAATGTTAGCCACCATTTTGTCGTTGAATGCGAACATTCTTGTCGCCAAGCTCCATGAGCATGGAGGAAAGAGGCATATCAGATACAGAGATCTGGCAGCACAGATATACGGTACATGGCTCGAGTAAAACGAATACATGCAGAATCTGATTTTGTATAAGATCTTCATGTTTAATCATATGTTTTTATTTATGCTTGATGAACATAGGTAGGAGAGCCTATACTATTACATGGGCAATGCAATATGTTAATCTGTTTATGATTAACATTGGATTTCTCATTCTGGGTGGTTCAGCTTTAAAGGTAAGACCAGATTGTTTAAATACGCCTTACTTTCCCTTTCAAATCTACATTCTGAGTCGAAGATAGTTGTTACAAACGGTTTCAGACTATCCCGAACTCGATCTTAAGGTTTCTGACCTTTTTTTATGCCTATCTGCTCCATGAATAAGGAATCAGTTTGTCAGTTTACATGAAGTTCATATAGATATAAATAGTCCTGAAATCTTTAACATGTGAATATGTAACGCAGGCTTGTTTTGCCGTTTTCAATTACGAGCACATCATGAAACTTCCGTACTGTATTGCGATAACCGGGTTTGCTTGTGCTTTGTTTGCCATATCGATACCGCATCTGTCAGCTCTAAGAGTATGGCTGGGATGTTCAACAGTTCTTGGCCTGATATATATCATCGTGGCTTGTGTGCTTGCAGCTAAAGATGGTAAGTTGTAATATATGATATTCGCGCTGTTCGATTTTCCTTTATCACATGGAAAGTTTCGTGTAATAATCTCAGACTGATTGAACCGCAGATGAAAGTGGAGACAGAATCCTTAATAAATCAGTTTTATCTTTCCATCTGTATTTTCTTGTAAAGAATGATGCTTAACGTAGATTGAACCCTATAATCAGAGAGCAATCTTTCTTTACGAAGTGCAAGCCTCGGATGATTTCCGGCATGATGTTCGGGATGGTTTCCAGCCTCTGTACCGGATGAAAGATGAGCCAGCTTAACGTGATTCAGTAAAAAAAATGAGGGGTTTCCAAGAGGGTTTAAGCAATGCTAACCTTTTAGCCTATTTGGGTCAGCCTGACCCTGCAGGAACCCTATGTTGTTTGTTACTTTCCGGGAAAGGGAGTATTGGCTCGACCGATGAGTTAAGGCATTTGGGTGTTTGTCGTTAGCTACCTTGAACTTGAAGCTGATCACTTTAGAGCTTTAGATTATGTATCTGAACATTGCAGTCAAAACCTTAAGAAGTTTTTGAGCCATCATATGCATGAAATTAAATATATCCTTGCCTGTTGTCTATAGAATAAATAGGCACTGCTTAGCTCCTGCAGGCTGCAACATATAGGGAACTTTGCTCGATTTCCCGATAACGCTGTTAGCTCCTAGGATACAAGTGGCTGGTGTTAATATCATTCAGTTTCACTTGATTTTGATTCGGAACCCTGATCTACTCCTTTTTGTCCTCGTATTTTGCATCATTTATGTGACAATAACGATTCCGATGCTGTTATAGGAATTAATGCACCTCCCCGAGATTATAGCATACATGGGAAATCAAGTAGCAGAATTTTTACAACTATAGGAGCATCTGCAAATCTTGTGTTTGCATTCAATACTGGAATGTTACCAGAAATACAGGTAGGGCAGACTATCTTAATGATTACAAGTTCATCCCTCCGATGCTGGTAATAAAAACCTCTAAACTTCTTCCTTTAACACCATGAATTAGTGTTTATATCAAGGCTCTATATATATAGAACTTCATGTTTGCTTCGACAGACATCGGTCCCAGCTCAGCCATACCGATCCATCCGTTTCTGTGAGGATGTGTCTTGAAAGTCGAGGAAAGATGGGTGGGTTAGGGTGGCTCCTAGATTTAAATCTTATTCATTCCGAATATTTCGTATAGAATTTGTCAAAATCGTTGTTTCCCATTTATTGAAATCTTGTTACTTCAACTCTAAGACATAGGTTGAATTTTAGCCATGTTGCATACTTGCATTCCTTCCCTGTTTTTTCCCCCTGCTTCTGATACATTGTTTCTCATAACAGGCAACAGTGAGGGAGCCTGCAGTGAAGAACATGCTGAAAGCTTTGTACTTTCAGTTCACCGTCGGAGTTGTACCGATGTTCGCCATTACCTTTATCGGCTACTGGGCTTACGGAGCGGCGACATCCACATATTTGCTCAACAGTGTAAGCGGTCCACTTTGGATTAAGGCGTCTGCCAACATATCCGCCTTCCTGCAATCTATCATTTGTTTGCACGTAAGTGTGTTTTACTTATTTGTATCATCAAGTTCAACCACTTGTAGCAATGCCTCACGAATCTGATGTGTTCCTCCCCCTCGTGCCGTTAGATATTCGCGAGCCCGACTTATGAGTACTTGGACACCAAGTTCGGTATCAGAGGAAGCGCGTTGCAACTCAACAACTTGTCCTTCAGAATAGCAGCAAGAGGCGGGTACCTTGTCATCAGTACACTGGTGTCGGCTCTTCTTCCATTCCTGGGAGATTTCGAGAGCCTCACCGGGGCGTTGAGCACGTTTCCACTAACGTTTATCCTGGCAAACCACATGTACATCGTGGCAAAGAACAAACTGAGTCTGTTACAAAAGCTGTGGCATTGGTTCAATGTTGTTATCTTCAGCATCATGTCTGTGGCAGCAACAGTTGCAGCTTTAAGGCTCATAGCTGTGGACTCCAAACAATATCATGTGTTTGCCGATCTGTGATCAACTACTAGGGGCTTAGAAAAATACCAAAAGAAATGACAGAAACCCGATTCGAATGTAATGTTCGTTTCTGTTTTGATTAGACTAATGATATTAATGTAATGTATTCAGTCAGTAATCGGTTCATAAGGTAGAAAAAGAAACCACAAGTACTGTTGGAACCGAGCAGAATTGTATTTTAATTTAATTTAAACTAGTTTTTAAGTTTGGTTTGGTTTCTTAAAAATGAGAGTATTTTACTTGAATGCATGTTTCTTTCTCGAAACCTTGTGTAAAAAACAACTCAAACCATGACTTTGGCTGCATTTTCTGCATAAAAGGGTTTTCTATCGATCTTCAAACAACTGTAAACATGAAAAGCAAATATCCAATTTGGATTTAAAATTCATTAGAAAAAACATTTCAAGCCATAGGATTTTAGCTAAATATACATTATATATATTTTCCACCTATTTGTTCTTGGGTAAAATAACCGATACTATATCAGACCTCGGTTTCATTTTTAATGAAGTGATATGGTTGTAACAAAATTTTAATTGAGTGATTTGATTATAATGTTTTAAAATTAGGTGGCCTATTTATAATCTGACTAATAATATAGTGATCTGAATAGTAGTTTGCCCTATGTTTTTTAACTAAATCTCTAGTGATTGACCAAAACTAAATAATTATGGACCGCACCCAATTATGGGACTTTTACCCTTGCCTAGGCCTGACCCCATTGTGGATTGGGCCTTTCAGGCCATGCAGTCTGCCTAGCCAATAAGTAGGTATAATACAACTCTCAAATTAGATTGGCAATGGGAGTTGCATTTTGTCTTATTCTGCACCATCTCTTCCCCTAACTTTGACTTATATTTTTTTTTATTAGCCTAGAATAGTGTATTTTCATAATTTATTTTAATTTTGGACAATACACACCATGTAAGTGCAGCTGCATGAATATTCTAAGGTGATTATACGGTAATATATGTTCATGATCTTTTTTAACCATTGACAACACACACCAATAATTATTTTATATATATTATATATTTAATTGTTTGGTACATTTTATGTAGGTGGAGAGTTTAATAATAAATTAACAGAAGTATAGACAATAATTTCAAGGATTGTTCAAACAATACTTCTTAAATTTAATCTCATGATTAATTAACATTAAATGATTTATGCAACCATTAATTTATTAGATAAGTGTGTTTGTTTAAAACATTATAGTCTCTAAAGAATATCTTTAGGTATACTCACTGGTATAATTAAAACAATTAGAGCCAAAATTTAGTTGGTCAAACTCTAAATGAATATATAAAACAAGAACAATATTATTGATTGAAATGAGAGAAATCGTAGTTTCCCAATTTTAAGATTATTTGATGATTAAGTTTACTTAAATAAAAAAAATTTATAAAATAAAGATTATTAGTGACCAACTTTATTTTCTATATATTTATAAGGTAATTTTTAGATTTTAAAAGAATAATAACAATAAATTATTTTGGAGATATATAATTCTTTTTATGATCTCTACAATTATTGTTTATTGTGATTTATGTTGTAAAGAAGAGTTTTGTAGGGATGTTGACAAAATATTTAGGATACACCGAATTTTTAGATATATATACCAAATTTTAGGGATAAAGATAATTACATATATTTACACTATTTTTTATAAGTTTATAGTGAATTATTATTTCTCTCATCCTAAAGATAGATAAAACCAAATCATTAATTTTAATTCTCGTCTCTTATGATCTATTTTATATTGATCTTAAGATTAGAATAATTATTAAGCATATTTTATGTTTTTAATTATATTTTGTTTTAAATCCAAAACATATTAAAAAGATAGGGATAATATATTCTACAAATCATAAAAAATTATTGAAAATAATGTGATGATATGAAAATGTATGTCTCGGATTGATTATATAAAAGATTTAGTATTTGATAGTGTCTCGTACACCAATTTTCTTTTCAAGAAATCTAATGTATAATTTCATAACTGTGCTCACTATTTTAATTTGTAATTACTATAATAGATTTAACTTTTTAGTAACTTAGTACAAAAGTTTTTTTTTTAAATATTTTGGGGTGATTATAAGGTAATATATGTTCATAATTTTTCTTATCAATTAACAACGCACATACACTTTATAAACGTAATTTCTCGAACCTAAAACCTCAAAGTAAAATAATACTCCCTTTAATTAATAAGATCACTCAATAACGGTCAATAATTTTGAGTCATATGAAAAGAGTAAACGATAAATAATAAAATTACAGACATTTATGCAGCTATTAAAAATATCATTTAGTTCTACTCCCCAATAAAGGAAGAAGAGAAAATGTTTATCCTAATAAACTCTTAAAACCTTCCTTATAAATTTATTGGTGAATATTCTTAATTATTAGATTAATTTTTTTAAAATAGAAAACATGGAATAATTGTAGTAATATTTTACTTGAATTATGCTTTTTAAATTTTTAAATTTCATTAGGTTCAAGTTCTTTCATTAGTCCGTGTACTATACATAAGTTATATGTTTAGTTCATACACTCCAATTTGATTAAATTTAAATTATGCTTTTTAAATTTTGAAATTTCAATTCTCATCCAAATAATACATGGACAATATGAGTCGATTCTAGGGACTTGAAGTTATCAAATTATAAAATATAGATTAAATCTACAATTTACACGTAATACATAGACTAACAATAGAAGTTCAAATTTACACGGTTATTGTTTGGTTTGAGAACAAATTTCAAAATTTTAAAAGTATTTGGACTAAAAAAAATTAGAGCACGTAAATTAAGTCCATAACGTACACATTATACAGGGACTAATAGAATAATTTAGCCTATTTATTGCTCTAAAATTTTAATGTTTAATAATTAGTTTAAATTTGTGAACCACCTAAATTATGAAGAAGAAATTCTGGATGAATCAACGGTGCTTGAGCTAAAATCTTTACTGTCAATACATAGACTAGCTCATTATGATTATATTTTTTGTTCAAAGTTTGAAAAAGTAAGGTGAATGTTAGAATATATTAATTAGCCATTAAGTTTGTTCATAATTAGAGTTACTGTTGGGCTATAAATATAATACATGTAATGGGCTAGAAGATATCTTTGGTTCTCACAATACCCATCAATGAATGGATAAATAATTAGAACCGGCTACAGTTTAACCCATATGTTTATTATTTCTAAATTCTGCAATCCAATCTCTTGCAAATTAAGGACATGATTTCGCCCATAAACATACACTAATTCCGTCACTTCATTTCAACCTCAGAGTGTTGGGACTTGATTTGGCCCGCAAACTAAGCATGTGAATCATGTACACTTCGTGCTTTTTTATTTAAACTTTTTCTTAACTGTTTATTGGGTAATCAAATGGATTTGGGAACACTAAATCTAATATTTATACAAAATATTAATTTAATTTTGATGTACGAATCAGTCCAAAACTATGGTTTTTTGAACATTACTCCTAAACTAGTATATACACTTCGGGATTCTTTTTAGGGGGCGTTTGGTTCATGGAATATAGCATTATCTTCGGGAATAAGATTACCGGAATATTATATTACCTTACACATTACCGGAAATATTACACTATTGTGTTTGGTTTGTTTGACAGGAATGTATAATTAAAGTGTTTGGTTAAAATAATAAAATATTAATGGAATGCATATTTTACTAAATTATCCTTATGATATTTTATTAACAAGTTGAATTCCAAATATTTAAATGAAAATATTTATATAAAATTCATAGAAAATATATTATTGTATTATTTTTAATTTATATATTTTTTATTAAATTTAAATTCATAAAATTTATATAATTTTTTTACAATATTTAAAAGATAAATGGGCATATTAAAAGAGTAAATATGTCATATATTATTTTAAACTTAATTAATATTTAAAAAGTTATGATAATTTGTGAAAATAAATTTTTGAAAACAAAAAATTATAGCTTTTGAAATAAAAGTAAGGATATTTTTTAAACAAATCTTTTGTTTCAAGGGCATTTTAGTCCAAGTGAAGGGAAACAAAAAATACCTAAGAAAAGCTTGGGATTAGCATTCTCGGTAAAAAGAGGAATTTTTTTACTGTTGGGAATATTTCCCATCCAAACGTGGGAATTTGAATATGGAAAAAAATTCCTACCAAGAATTTTGAATTTCATGATCCAATCACCCCCTTAATGCAAATAGAAGCTATAGTTTTATTTTAGAAAATTAAAATTATAATAAATATTTATAACTATAATAAAAAACTAAATATATAATTAAGATTTTTTTTATAATCATTAATACAAGAAATTAGTCACTTAATATCATACAAAGACCATACAAAGAAAAAATTGTAAATACATAAAAAAAATCGAATAAAATATAGGTGTGAATAGATATGATTGCATAGGTAAACAAACTGCAACATGAGATCAAACTATCGAAAGACTACTAATAACCGCAAATTAGAGTCGAGCGTTGTGAGAAAATTATCTCCCAACGTAAATCGCATATCTAAATTCAATCTGGGTCCAAAGCCAAGCATATTAATATGATAATAAATAAGTGACATATCGATCAGTTGAGACGACATCAAATTCAGTATTGAAAAAATTAAACGATGAGAATAACCAAACGACCGATAAAAAAGATTAAAAGCGTGCCAAAAAAAATGAAAATATATCAAATGTTATAAAAATAGAATTATTAGAAACTAAAAAAAAAAGCAAACAATCAAATATGTGATATAAGAAAAATAAAGAAAACAAGAAATAATAACGGTCGCCAATTAACATGTGTACGAAGGAAAGCGATGCAAAGAAATTGAAAACTCCTATTCATGGAGGGTCTCCTTTTTAGTTTATCTTGAAACGGAGCCTAAACATTCAAATCTACCCCCTTGAACCTTTGGCCCCCCCCCCCTCTTTTTTTAACAATATTTACCTAGAGGGAGGGAAAGAGAAAGAAGAATTTTGTTCATAATTGATATTGAAACCCACAACTTAGAGATAAAAGAAATTAACTGAGAATTTTTAACCACATACTTTAAAAATTATTAAAAATAAGATTTAATTTAGTTAAAAGACTTTGAATA